GAACGTCAGAAGGCCGGGGCCCTTGCTCCACCCACTGATTCCACTTATGTCTGTGGTTCTTGTCACCGCACCTGCCGATCACGAATCAGACTCCAAAGCCATCTCAGAAAATGTTTAAGGAAATGTACAATTACTAACACGCGCTGAAATTATGGACTAGATTGTCCGATAATGCCAATACAACAATAATACACCAAACAACATGACTTGATGTTCAACAATTAAATTCTCTGAAGACACTAAAACTCAGATATGCAGAGTTGTTTGAAGGTATTGCCTGAACGCAATCTAATACTGAAACTCAGCGAGAAGCAAAGCTGTATCTTAGGACTTACAGAGCTGAGAGAGAAGCTTGTTCTGTCTGAGAGGTGATCCATAGTTCTTTCATACAGATAGACTTTTCAAGAGCAGATGTTTTGGATCATATAAGCAAGTTTATTTAGGCATGGAGAAAAGCATAAAAGAGCTTCTGTGCTTCAAGTTGAAACAAACCACAAAGGCCAACTGATACCACACAGAGTTCCACAACTCTACTTGCCTCCACATGGAATTGTGCACTGGAAAATACAGGAAGAAAAGGAGAAATTTTTGATAAGCTTTATTCAAGCAAGATGTGCTCCACACGCTATTAGACTCGCGATTCTCTTTGCTTTTCAGCACCATAAAGACACTGCTCAACACGACTGTTTGATTAGTGACTAATCACTGTTTTTCTTGATAAGATGGGTATTTGTCATTGTGTTCAAGTTGGTACTGAAGGGTAATCCTTTGTCTTGTGATGTTGTCAAGTGAGATGCTACAACTGCTAACTGTTAGTCTTCATCAGGCAATGCTTCACATCCAGCTTTGACCTTAACTGTTCTGGCTTCTTTCCTCAATGGTCCATGAATGTACTGGTCTTCTATTGCCCTGGCAGCAAAGTTTCAGAGATTTTGATTCCATTATGCCAGTTAATGCTTTTAGGGTGAAGTCTTGCTGCTCTGCAGGTGTACCAGTGAGAGTCTAAAATATTAAACATAAGCTGTTCTAAAGCAAATAGTGCAAATTCTGACGGGGCTTATGAGAAATGGCATAGCCTGGTTGACTTGGACAACATGTATAACCTTGCCAAGCTGCTTAGACTTGCACTGATGCGGGGTTTATTGAATGTGAATCAGAGCATTTTTCATAACTCACATGACAGCAGCACCCTCCAAAGAGGTAAGCTTCCCCTCACAGGAACCTTCAACCACCTCCAGGACATAGGTCTCTGGTGAACAAAGCATTTCATAACTTTGTACTTGAGAAAAACAACATTCATTCAAGGTGAAACCAGGCACATTAGCACAGATTTTTCCCTGCTTGGTTTTATACCCATAATATTGGTTGGTACCACAGATAGATATTTTGGGCTGGGAGGAGATAAGGTGATGCACGTAAATGTTCTCCCTGAAGAATGGATGTTGAAAGTATCATCTATGTGGTGCTTCCTTCCAATGCCATTTACATCTTAGATTTGCGGGTTGCAGAAGATATTGCCTGTACTTCAAATTCATCTGTGATAGCTGAGGAAACAGGGATGCACCTAGCTTGCCCCATAGTAAATCCTGCCCATCTCATTGTGAAATCTAAGAGGTCCAAGAGGTCTTTGAGTAGGTATTAAATGCTGGACATATTCAGAAAGGCCATGGCACTCTCTGGCTTTTGTGGGAAGGCTTTGTTGAAGGTTGTATAATGTCCTGTCACATTGCACCGGTGATTAGGATGGTGTGAGCTTCTGTGGTGTGTACCAGCATGGCTTGTAGAGGTTCACTGTAACCTGCAAAACTAACAAGCTGTTTTTGAGTGGCATTCAATGTTAATGAGAGCTACGTACTATAAAACACTTTTATTAATTTGTAAATGTTAAGTGCATGCAGTTGAAAAATGGTGTCTTATTTTACTTTCTCAACAGACAATCGTATTTGTATTTTCTGTACTCTGCTTAATTGTTTTCCTTTGTGACTTTCTCTCCATAGCAGACAATTTGCTCATCTCAATTGCATCAGTTGTATACTCGAAAAATTTATGTGAATGTATTCAAGTTGATTCCTACAACAGACAATCTACTATTTTTACAATTATTGTGTATAATTCTCACTTCTCCACAAACACCCTTATTTTTGCATCTTTTAAGCTCCTCATAGATAAGATGCCTATTGTTTTGTTGTCCTACACTTACTTGGTCAAAAGAAAAAATTATGCACACGCCTTTTATGTTTTCAGAAACAAATCAACCATGCCTGCTTCATTTATTCACTGCTGCAAAATGATATGACTTTCCTTGATTTCTCAACAGTCAAAATATTATGCAAATTCTTGTCACCAGGACTCCTATCAGTATTGTAAAGTTAGAATGATGAGGTAGATTATTTACCTCTTTCCGATTATATATCAGAGTATCTATTTCTTCATGCCTGGATTTGACTGACATGAAGTTGGTGGTCTGAAAACTAAAACAGAAATGCTACTGTGTTGCCAAACTGTTTGAAGTATTGGACCTACCATGTTTGAAGAAGGGCATGTTGTTTGTAGACCTCTTTTCCTCTCTCTGTCTCTTCTTAGGTTAGCTTTTCATACCTGCAAAAACTGCATTGAAAGTTTCAGTTAGTAACTGCATCATTGTTTCAGAATTAAGCGTTTGCAAAAAACAAAATGTTGTGACAATGCTCCCGAAAATGAGCTAGTCCCCGAAAATGGACTGGTCTGCTGACAATATGACAGTTTGATTTTCTCTTTAATTGGCCAAATTTGTTATACCACCGATCATACAAATTTAAGTATCAAAAATAGACCTTGTTGAGGTGAAGATCCTGAAATAAAAATTGTTAGCAATTTAACAGCATTGTTGTGTTAACATTAAAGAAAGTGACACAGACAACAGGTTTTTTGGGTTTTATTGTTTCCAGGTGTGCCATTATTCCATCATTTCTACAGTAATCCACAGGACCTACATATAATTGTATACAAGATCGCGCATTCTTGTTTTTGACTGTTTGGTATGCCCCCGAAAATAGGCTCGGTCAGAAGTATAGAAAAAATAATAAACTTGAATATGTAAATTTTCTATTGTCTGGAAGTAGTTAACACAAACACACAGTAATTTAAAGTTAAAACTAAATTTAAAGTAAATGACGAAGAGACACAGGCTTTTCTTGTTTTATTGTTATCAAGTATCCGTTACATCATTTCTAAATTAATCCACAGGACCTAAGTATGTATCAGGGAGGGGGCGCGTTCCTATTTGAAAAATTTAGCATCCGCAGAAACCTCAAGTGTTCCTGTGCCATTTAGCACTCTGATTGGAACACTCAGGGTGTCCCAGATGATACATGAGCATATTAAGTGGCCTGCTAACGATTGACAGTCGCAACCAAGCCTTTGTGCAACAAATTTGAGCCAATTGTGTCCTGAACCGAAAGCCGAACCAAAAGCCGAACTGAAAGCCGAACCAAAAGCCGAATCAAAAGCCGAAAATCGAGATCTGTTGTTCTACACTTGAATACGCCACTCTTTCCAATCTAAGCCGTGAATCCCAAATATTGTTGATATTGTCTGGATAGTGATTTGGTAAAAAAAAAAATAGTTCAGATGATGTTTACTAAGCATTTCACTTGTGGTGGAATTGGCAAAAGCTTAGATTAGATCAGCGAATGGTGCATTCCCGTGTAATACAACACAGTGTGCTATCTAGGTTCCACGTACCTTATGCCATGGTGTTCACCATTCCCTTCTTTGTGTGGGTCGATGGCTTGTAGACACAGGAACTCCTCTCCAAGCTCGTCAGCATGTAGATTATATATCAAAAATTTGGCGACAGCTGACAAACTGTCATGACAGACAATTGGCCTAAGAGTTTGCACTGAAAACTAACATGTGGGCCAGCATTGAAACTGAGAGCTTACAATACACTCTGGAAAAATTAATGACTTTCTGAAAATTTAGCTGACAGATGACTGCCATGGCAAGAAGACAATTGACTTAAAGCATTAAAATTTAACCAGCGATAATGGCCCAAAATTTTGACTGGCAGCCATCAAACTGCCAAAATATGACAGACAATTGGCCTAGGTGTTTTTGTGAACGATCCTAGCCGAGGTGTATGCATAATCCCTTCTAACTGCTCATTTACCCAAGCCTTAATGGCTACAACTGGAGATAACAGCTACAGTAACCTACATTTAAGTAAATATCTGGTTGAACCTTTAGTGCCAAAATGGTTTTCCATAACAGTTTTGAGAAATGGTTTTGGTCGGCATAGTTTCAGTCAATTGCAGCGCTTAGACTCACTGCCATTGAGTGAAACTTTTACACATCAAATTGTTTCAGTATATTGTGCAACTAAGCAGGGAGATGCAGCAAAACCGAATTGAAGTGAAACTTATGCTGAAGTAGAGCCGAAATGGAGCCGATGTAGTGTTGAAGTACAGGCAAAGTTGAGCCGAACTAGTGTGAAGTGAAGCCAGAACTTGTCCGAAAATCCTGAAAAGAAACCCAATGGAAAAATCTAAAGGGAGGAGCCATCCCAAACCTGGGACCCCATTAACTAATCTAACTACATTAACTACAGTTACTTAAGCCGAATCAGAAGTACATTGACTTCTGGCCGAAATTTGATTCAAGGTTCAACCAGAGCTCTATTTAACCCTTCCCACCCAACCCACAAATAATTTCACTGACCAACATCCTCCATCAGAATCTTACTGACTTGTTTCCAAACTTCTTGTCTGGGTAAATCGTAATTAGCAGTAGACAGTAGAAAGGAGGAAAGAAAAGAGTGTTCTTCCCAACCATTCCAATACTTCCACATGTGTTGATCGAGTCGGAGTCAGATCTTGTGTATAGTGGGTGGAGCCGAAATCTTGTATTGGTAAAACTGACCATACAACCAGTTACTATTTGCTCGTCGGGAACTAATGAAAGGAAAAATGGAAGAGTTGTAAGAACAAAGAGGTAGTGTGTTCTACATAAATTATGTTTCTTAAACCAAGTTAGTGATTAATAATTTGATAATTTGAAACACCAAGTTAGATTATACTGCTTTAGGGGTGCACCATTTGATATTTTAGTTGGGGCCTTGGGGTGTGGGTGATTTGTTACAGGCACAATTTTTGTACCCCTTTCATGGACTGGGAAATTTTTTCTCAGGATGTGTGTATGCACAATATTTTTTTCGCCATACAACATGCTTTCTTTGGCTCACTGAATGTGCATAAATCTTGTTTTGCAGTAGCCATGAGCATGAATTGTTTTGGTACAAGTATGCTTGCAGAATATTATTTTTTTTAAAAAAAATCCCCCCTCCCCCCACCCCATTTGCTTTAAAGTAAAATGGTCCACCCCTTAATATTATTGTCTCGAATTCTGATAATAAAAGGGTTGGGTAGCAGCTCTCATAAGGTCTCACATGAATAGCCTAATGCCTTTCGTGAGGACAATAGGACAAACACCAGAAACAATGCCCCTCGCCCTAAAACAATAACAACTGGTAACAAGCACAAGAATTACAGGCTTAGTTCTGTAATGAAACCCACACAAATAAAAAAGAATTGACTACACTAGAATTCCAACATTGTTTCCTTAAATTTACTCGTTCATTTTGACACAGACAGAGCTTATAGAGATGAAATGTTTTAAAAGCCTAACCGGATGCTTACATGTACAAAGTAACACAAGTAACAAAATACTTTGGAAACGTGTTTGTTTAGTCACTTCAGAAATTGCCGCTTCGTTTTGCGCGGGAACCTTTTTAGTCCGCATTGTTGTATTATGAAAAACACTTAGAACATTTTTTGTGAAGAATAATAAAACCAGGTATTTGATAGTTGCTTTAATTCAAGTAGACTTACCTTTCAACTTTGGAACTGTCCCAGTCTTTCCACTTCGCGGGTGTGCGTGACAGCAGCGTTTTTGACGAAGTCTTCCGAGATAAAATTTCTCACGCCCTCGAGCAAATCCTGTAACAAAAATACAGTTAGAGCACAAACTAAGATGACAAGGGAAAAAACATTTCGAAAGTATTTTGTACCACGGGAAAAATTGGTTAAGAATGACGTTACGGCAAACGGCAAAAACTAAACCGTCTTTTGACGTTGTTTTTTTAGCCGCGGGTACACGTTAGAGAGATTATTTGTATTTTCTGTCAATAGGAGAATTTTTTCTATTTTTGTGTTGAAATGGTTTAAGGATTAGAGGAAAAGAAAAAATTAGACTGAGGCAATTTTTCCCGTTTGCCGTTTAAGCATGACGTTCCGTCAAACGGCAAAAATGAAACGTTTGCTGTCAGTCTTCAGCTGTCTGTAGAGTAGAGTTAAAATATTTGTATTTGCGGTGAATAGTAGGAGACGTTTTTCTATTTTTCTGTGATTTATTTAAGGTTTAAAAGAAAAGAATAAAAATTCAGAGGTAATCTTTGCCGTTTGTCGTCTGCCGTAAACGTCATGCTTAAACTCTCTATTCATAACCTCTCGCGGGAACCTTGCTTGTCTTCATTTCTTAAGTTATGAAAAGAACTTTTACAAAATTTTGTGAAGAATGATGAAAATAGATGCTTAATAATTTACTTTCTTTCAAGTATTACAGTGAGTAATTCTTACCACTCAAACTGCGAGCGTTTTCTTTCCACGGCGGTCTGCGGGCAACTGCAAAGCGTGTTGGCGGGAACATTTTTCACAAAGTCACATATTCACCAGGCAAAAGTTTTTCATTTCTTGCAAATCCTGTTAACAAAAGTAAAATTAGGGGAATTTGCTGAAGAATATGTAATTTATACATAACCGGTCAAAAATAATACATTTTTTCATGCGCAAATATTGAATTTTATACTTCGGCATGAAACCACGTGTTTCTTCCCCAGAGTAGGCCGCCCAGGAATTTTTCATGTTGTGAACACTGGGAGACTTCCAACAGCAAAGGCACTCACCTGTTTAACTTTGTCCCATTCAATAAGTTGAGTAATATTACCTCGCTGACAGAAGCTGGCGAAGAACGAAAAATTTCGCGCATCTCTTGACTGAACGAAAGTGTTTCGAGGGCTGCAAATTGTTTGTCGAGAGTGAAACTTGTGTTGCGCCTGGTTTGACCTAGTACCACGTGGGCTGATACTCTTCTGTAATTGGTTTGCTTCGTTGCAGGGGCCTTTCTGTCATCTTACGTCATTGATTGTAACTCGGTAAACAACTACTAAATAAAGCATTTTTGGAACTAGTTTTGGAGTTTTTGAACGCAAAACTGCGTTCCTTTCAGCAAAGTAACTGCACGTTCTGTGACAATGCGTCATTTCTCCTACTTGACTTGTTTTTCAGTGATATTCAAGACGCGAGGAGGACCTGTCAATCTGAATGGCGCTGTCCCTCGTGGGTAGTCCTGATTCCTGATTGGCTCCTTTCATTAGTTTGCTTTCTACTGGCTTCAACGACATCCGGATTTGAGGAGAACCTTACGAAGAAAATTTTTGACAATTACGCACCGGGTATTTCCCGTATATTGAGTTTCCAGCACTAGTTTTTTTAATTTTCCATTGATGGGGTCGTAGAAATTGAACAATTTTCGGATTTTCCGGAAACGTCCACAGGAAATTTCCGCTGTATATATAGCCAATTACATTTCCTGCGATAGCTCAGCTATCACTCAAAATTTCAGCCTCTTATGCATCTTATGCAGGCCGTATATTCTTCTAACATTTATCCTACTGGCTCCCGGACCGCAAGAATTTGGCACCTATCACGATAGGATCATTTTGCCCAATTATCTCTTTTATTGGTACCTACAACTACAAGCCATCTAAATATCACTGCAGCCTCCTGCAGCCTAACATTCCATCCGAACACTGTGTTCCTCATGTATTTATTTATTTTCCACTCTTCCTCGAATTTGATAAATTTTGACAGGAGGTAATAAGGAAGGTGGAGAGGTGTCCAAATGGAAAGGGTAACATGAATATGGATTGATCTAGAATTTACATTTAAACATTTGATGAAGAATTTACATTTAAACCTTTAAACAAGCAGCAACCTGGAAAGAAACGTATGTTGTTTAAACAACTTTTAAAGGATGCCTGAACTCGACACAGTTTGAATGAAATCCCAATTCTAATAAACATACATTTACAACGCATAGGCCTAAAAAGGTACCAGAAGAACTTCTTTTATCGGCACCTCGCGGTGGACTTCGTGTTTCAGAACACAGGACTCCCTCCCAACCTTTCAACAAATGGATACATGTTATAAAGAAAATTGCTGAAACCCGGTCATTTCGAAACCCGGCTGTTGTACAAGGTGTTCACTGAGCTAGCGTCGAAATGTTGGATTCAGTCTAGTTTTGAAGTTCTTACAAAAAACTTTGAGAGGTCTTCTATTGCAGGTTTTTTTTTTTTTGTTCGGGTGATTAATTCGTCATTATAAAAATCAAGAGAAACAGACATTTTCTGGAGCCATTACATACTTCAGTTCAATGAACGAGAATGGGTGCACATAATCATACATTTTTTGATGAGCGATGGGGGTAGGGAAGATGGTTCATAACTCGAAGAAAAAGCAAAGTTAAAAGTCTGAGGGGACAGGGNCCCCCCCCCTCCCCGCCCCCAACCAAGGGTCGGAAGACAAAGCTCATTATAGGACAAGATTAAAGGTCTTAAAGTGTAGGTCTTAACTGGAAAAACGCATTTGGACTTGATTACACTTTAATCTTTTACTGTGATGCACCTCGTCCTCCGAACCTTGGTCAATAAAAAGCAGCTCCCATTGGTCTTAATTGTTATTTTCATATTTTTATGCTGACCCAGTTATCTTGAATCTCCGCTATTTCGAACTATTTTTCTTTTCCCCTTAGCGTCCGAATAGAAAAGCCAGCAATAGACTAGCATGAATAGATTGTTAAAAAAAATGATAAAAAAGAGCCAAAAAGTGTATCAAACAACACATTTCGCAAGAAACAGATTAAGTAGTTTCGGGGCGACCAGCACTGTTTATAATGTTCTTTATGATTGGACAAACGAAACAATAGGTAAAGAACACAAACAAACATGCCCCTAGCCCTGAGAACAAAAGAGGTGCAGATTAAAGATCAAGCGAAAAATTTCTTATAAATGAGATATTGCACTCATGTAGGTCTGAAACAACAGACATCCATTGTTTGACGCCAGATCTAAGAATAATAGTGCATACTATGGCTTCCGAGAACCTGATGACCCATAACTTCCCAGCAGATAAAATTGCGTCCTGCTCTGGAGCGTAAAACCCCTCCGGCAGTTTGAGAAGAGTACTTGATCATCCAACTTGTCTTGGCATTTGGTTGCGACATATTTTCTTCAAGCATATTATCGCCATGTAAAATAGTTCTTTTTTCATGAAATGAAAATGAAATGATATGTCTGGCAGCATCTGTTGTAATAACTAAAGCAACGTCGAGACATCTTGGGCAACACCCTAACCTCGTTGCAAACCTATAACTTATGTAATTATTAGAGAAACCTACGTGTTTTTAACCTGCAATAGGAAACACTCTTTCATGTTTGCAAACATCGAGTACTTAAAACTTAATCTGTGAAGCTGTCTTCCCTTGATATCGATCTCAAATATGGAGTACAATAGGCGAAAAACCAGTATGGTAGATGTCGCATGTCCGTCGGGCAAACGTCACGAGGCAACAGCACGTGCATTAGTGCACTTTGCATGCCAATTAGCTCATTCTGACATATGATTGGCTGATGTTATCAACACACCCCCGACACACCGCCAATACGCCCTCGAGCGTGGCGGAACATAAACAGTCGTGCATAATTCATGAGTTCATAGCAAAGAGAAGTCTGGCGTACGTCGGATTATTTGATCGTTAACTTGAGTGCGAAAATGTTTACGAGAAGCTTAAAATTGGGTCACTTGGCTTGTGTGAGTGAAAATGTCCTCGGGAAAAGCCGTTCGTTTTACTCGGCCGTCAAGAAGGATTCGCCTCGAATTTTAATCACTGGTAAGACTGGTGAAAAGCTGTTAATCACAACCTTTCCCGCTCTTTGTATTGTAGCGTATTATGATTCATTTTCAACGTCTGTTTTGTCGTCTTAACGCCTTTTGCCTTTCATGCTTCTACTTTGGTTATTTAGTGAAGAGAAACTTCGATATGCTTCTGTTATTAACACGAATTTAAGCCTCGAGGGTTTTCGCCTTTTCCGTCAAACGGAAACTCTATTGCGTTTGAACAACATTCCTTGATATGTCTATGAATTAAAGTGATTAAGTCGGCGAAAGACTCGATTTAAAGATTCACTTTGTTTCTTGAAAGTGGAATTATTCGACCTTATGCCTTTGGTTTGCTTTTTCAGGAAGTTTAGGACAACTTGGACGAGGCCTTGCAAGAATGCTGAGGTAAGATGTCAGGCAAAGTTCATAGATCTTCCGGTTAAGCTGATCGTCGAACCACATCAATTTTACGCTTTTCCAAGCCACGCGGTCGCAACACCAAAGTTGTGTGCACTTCTGTTTGTGTTGTTTTCGCCTTCAAATCCGTCCATTTTACCTTGACGTAAAATATTTTCTTTAATCCCCCTCTATAAGTGTCCCTATGAATGACCATCGCGACGTAGTTTAATAGCTCGTTAAAATATGCATGAAATGTTGAATAATAATCGATCGATGACTCAGCCTTAAGTCTAATTGCTACCGTTTACTCAGCAATTCATACAAACGTAGCTTATAAAACAGCTCGAGTGATTGAAAAAAAGCCAATGATGAAGCCGGCAATTTGAATTTTAACTGAATAGAACAAGTGCATTGAGTTTGTAAAAAAAATGAAATCGAAAATTTTACTCAGCACACAGTGACTCGACACTACATACCTACAGACATAAATACAACCTTAGTTTATTTAATTTTTTTAAACGATTGTATGTGAAAGCTTTCAGCTCATGTGGTCGTGAAAGTACTAGCTCAATATCTCTGAAATTGTCCTGGAGAACCTCTAGTAATAGTAATATTAATCATACACACCTCTCTTAACACTAAATTCACCTTGCTTGGATCGTAGATCTTGTGCTAATGTCAATCTTCTGGAAAGAGTATAAAGTGAAAGTTACTTCTACAAGAATGCCCCAAGGTCTTTCAATTCATGTATTTGGTCAAGCAGGCTGTTGTGTTATTGAAGAAGATAATTCATTGTTAACTGATTTTGTCTCTTTTTAACTTAATTTTCATTGCTACTTATTAGAGAAAAGTATGGAAGAGATAATGTCATCATGTCAGACATTGCGAAGGCATCTTGGGATGTTTTGGAAACTGGTGAGTCTCCTTCTGTTTCTTTCTTCCCCTTTACTTATCTGGTTAATGGTCTGGCCCCCTGGGGGCCAGGGTACTCCCATATATAAGCTATATAATATGGGTATGTGCTGTTGTGAAGGGTATGGTTTTCATACAAATTAGTATGAGTTAATTAGGTTTAATGGATTGTATTCTTAGATCGTATTTTGGCCGCACCTATCTTTACACATATCATATTCTCCTCGAGGTCACGTGATCGGCGACTCATACAATTGTATTTTGCCCATCTCCGCCTGTCCCGGGCAGTATATAGGTTGTCCTATTAAACTGTCTTTCGTAGCCCAACTCGCATGTTTTGTTTGCATTTGCATGTATAATATGAAGACTGTGACATTAAAGGCAGTTTAGTCTGGGATACCAGGTATAGAAATCAGACAGTTTTGGTCTAGAATAGGGTATAATATTTATCAGAAAAGTGGCCAGTGTATAAATAATTTAGTCTAGAACAGGGTTCTTTACCCGGAGTTCTGTAATAGAAATTGAAACTCGAAAGTGACATTGTGAGATATTGGTTTAGATAGCATATGTTGGACTACGATAGTGATAGAGTTTCTATGTAGAAAATAGCTAGTCTGGGATAGTGTAGGGGTTTTGCCCAGAGTTCTATGACCTAGAAACTGAAACTCGACAGTGACATTGTAAGATATTGGTTTAGTTAGCGTATGTTGGACCATGATAGTGATAAAGTTTCTGTGTGGAAAATAGCTAGTCTGGGATAGCGTAGGGGTTTTCAATGTCTAGTCTAGAGCAGGGTTGCAAAATCAAGCTAATCATGGTATCGTATAGGGTAATGGTTTCAGTGTCCCTGTGGCACACCACCCCTACCCATTAATTTACAGAGTGCCCCTTGGGGGTCTGGTCCAAGTTGTTCAAAGGGTAGATAACTCTATCCACTGGATAAGACACTATCCAGTGAGGGACTGCCAGGGAGAGCATGTTTCACTTTTTCTTCTAGTTCCCTATTGACAAATTGCATTGCTCCCCAAAATATTTTGTCAAAGTTCCCTTTAATTAAGTAGAGATATCCCTTGTTCCCTTGAAATAATAAATGATCATGTTTCCTTTGTTCCCCAAAACCCCTTGGAGGTCCTCTCCAGTGGATAGTGTAGAAGTTTTTTGTGCAATCCTTTCCATGGGGTAGTGATTTAACCTGGGGTTAATACTTTCTATCTATCTTGAACAGCTGGGCACTGACAATTACTGCATTACATTCTGTTACTCAGGTACTACAAGGAGGGAGAGATGTTAAGCCCCTCTTTGAGCTTGAAATTTGCAATTTGAGAACTTTTATGCAATTGGAAATTTTTGGCAACTCTTTTGGGATGAAAGATTTGGTGGGAACTGTTTTTTTTTTGGAGGGGGGTGAAGGATTTCTTATTTACTACGTCAAACAAATTTTAGTCATCTGTCAGTTTCATTGAGAAATGAAGACTGCATGCAAATGACAAGTACAGTGTAGACTTCCAGTTCTACTTGTTTATTAATAATTTTCCTGCCTCAAGTTTGTGACAGATGCATAATATTTTAGGTGAATGAGAGTATTAATTCTGAAAATCAATCATGGTCATTGATTTTGGAGTGATCATATATATGTATTTCTTTCTAAAATAACCATGTTATTAAAATTTACTAAAAATGGATCTTTTTTTGTATTTTTGTCCAGGTCCATACTTGTATGCTGACATTCTGGACTTAAAAAACCTACAGTCCATTGTAGTCAATGAGCAAATTGATTGGTTGGTGCATTTCAGTGCCATTCTAAGTGCTGTTGGTGAACAGAATGTGTCCCAAGCTCTACAAGTGAATGTTGAGGGTGTCCACAACATCTTTGAACTGTGCCGCAGAAACAATTTAAGGCTGTTTTGCCCGAGCACAATTGGAGCATTTGGTCCTGAAACCCCATCAAACCCAACTCCTGATCTGACAATTCAGAGGCCTAAAACAATCTATGGTGTAGCTAAAGTTCACATGGAGCTTTTGGGAGAGGTAAACATACTGGAAAGAATTCACCTTATAATGCATACTGAGGTCAAACTGACCCAGACTGCAAGAGCTCACATCCAGTTTCCTGATGGCACAAAGCAACTAGAATTATAATATTTGCTACTTTAACCTACAATGGGTTGGAATGTGAATCTAAAATGTCACCTCTTCCCCCTCCTGTCATAATGCACTGTGAAATGTAATACAAATAATACAACATAATGTCTCCAGTCAGAATCCAACCTTAGACTACCCTATCTGAACTCCAATCTGCTTAATGTAACTATGGAGCCATTCTGATATTGCATCTCTCAAACCACAAAGTTATGACAAATATTAGTGTTCACTTGGTGCTTTATTGTCCCTTCATAGTACTATCATCACAAGTTTGGTTTGGACTTTCGCTCTGCAAGATTCCCAGGAGTCATCTCAGCAGAAACTGCCCCAGGGGGTGGTACTACTGACTATGCTGTCCACATTTTTCATGAGGCGCTAAGAACTGGAAAATACAAATGTTATCTGCGCCCTGATACTAGAATGCCAATGATATATCTCCCTGATTGTCTGCGAGCGACTGTCGAGTTGCTAGAGGCACCTGCAGAAAAGCTAAACATGCGCACATACAATATCAGTGCTATAAGCTTTACACCTGAAGAACTGGCAGATGAGCTGAAGAAGTTTATCCCGACACTGAAAATGGAATATGAACCTGACGAAAGGCAAGCCATAGGTAGGTGTATTAATCACTATTTTTTCTGCTTTCTAAGCAGTATAAAGATCAGGCTTTGGTGCACTATAAAAAATGGGTCTGCATTGGGCCAAGTTGTCCATGCATGTAGCCGGAGCTTATCTTTATCTCAGTCTGTACTAACTGGGAGTATTTCTTCTCCCCCTTGTATGGAATACTGGTCTGTTGCAGGGCTAAGCTTGGCTGTAACCATCTATACACTGGGCGGGGTTGTTCAAAGCCTGATTAAGCTAACCCAGGATTAGCAAGAATTTTGATTTCGGTTTTGTAACTTGTGGGTGAGGTTTTCTATTTACATTGTTTGTCCTTCGGTTTTGAGCTTGAGTAATCTCAAACTACACAAAACGTATGGAGAGAGAAACATTTTTATAAAAGAAAAATTTACAATACTTTGGTTATTGACTTTTAATCCATTATCCTGGGTTAGTGTTAACTGACTTTTGAACAACCTGGCCATGGGTGTAGAGAGCTACGGTGAGAGTAGTGTCTTGCCCATTCCAAGCACACAATACAATGGACTCCAATCCAGAGCGCTGACAATCCAGAGCCCAGCTTGCTAACCATTAGGCCACATCATCCCCTTAGTGCACTGTGTTCGGATCAAGTATACTTAAAGGCATCCGTGGTTGAGTGTCGACTGATTCCCTCGAGCAATACCCCTCGATCGATACTCTCAATTGGCACTAGATTAACACTCCATCGACATCTCAGTCGAGAGTCGACCGAATTTTCGATTGATTCACACAAGTCAGTCGACACTTGGCTGACTATCAAGCGACTGTTGATCAAGTGTCGATAGAGTGTCGACCGAGTATCGATTGGGATGGCGATTGATTATTGATCGAGATCTCAATCAAGGGTATCAATAAAAAGTATCGAGTGACACTCGACCGCTGATGCCTTTAGTAAATACACATGATATCTGTGTTCCATGTTCTTGACAGGACATATTAATTCAATAATTTTGATAAGTCAGAAGGGTTATAAGTCAAGCGGTAATTTAAGGTTTTTGCTATCCATCTACTTAATAATTTGAGATGCATCTATATCCCTTGTAGCTGACAGTTGGCCCCAGGTTCTGGAGGACAGTAATGCAAGAAAGGACTGGGCCTGGCGGCATGAGTATGACCTCAATGCCATGACAGCAGCCATGCTGGAGGCGTTAGCTCCAACAGGAAAAGTTACTGCAGTGGTGCAATGAACACTTTGAAATAATATGACATGCAGTTGAGAATTGTCACAACACTGCACTGGGTTCTTGGAGTATTTTATTGGGCAGCTCCCTCAAAGGCACATTTTCCCATTGAATGATGATGTTCCACACATAAACTGATGGAACAATTATTATTATAATTATGTACTTCCATTTTAATGCGGTATTCCCTGCAAATGTTTGACTGTGCAGGTTAAAATAGTTTATATGCATCAGTATTTCTGCATCAAGTATACTTAAAGTTTGCTTGCAGTGTATTTAATTAATTATTCTAGTCTTCACAAATTTCATTTAACTTGACAACTGTTCCATGCCACATTGTTACAAATCATGTTTTTAAAATATCTGACAACTCATTGAATTGTTATTTTGTTTTTAGCTAAGTTATCGGTATGTAATTTTCTGCTGTACCACACAGGGCTTCAGTTTCCAAACTACATGTAAAATGGCCATTTTAAAATGTCTTGTTAGATAATCAATGTTTTTAGTTAAAAGAAATTAGAGTTCATAGTTTCAAACTAAATTAGAACATTATGCAGTTGACCATAGTTTAATGTTTGACTAAAATTTATGTACAAATTAACAAAAATATAGTTTTGGTGTGTGGAATAAATATATCAAGCATTTCAAAATGCCTATTTATGCTACTTCATTGTTGTCAAAAATACAATGTGTGGCCCCAGAAAATATCTATTTCTTCCCCAAGGAGGGTTGTTAGAAATTCCTAGGGTGAAAAGCCAAAATTTTAAAAGGATGATATGAACTAGAACTGGAATTTCCAGATGGATGGGTTGTTCAAACCAAAAAACCATCCATGGGAGTTAGGGGTGTGGATATTTTCTGGAACAACACAACAAACATTTTATATTGTGTTGTTCCAAGAGTAATGCCTCTTCCTCTTGCAGGTGTTTTTTAATCGATCTCCCACCCACCCCACTGCAGATTACATGTATAGTCTCTGACTTAAAAGACATTGGATTCTCAAAGTCCCCTCTTGGTCCCCTCTTGTTCAGACCAAAACCTTCCATGGAGTTGGTATAGATGTTTTCTGGAATGACACATTAATTTTGATTGACAGTAATAGGACAGAATATTTTTTTTTTAATTGGTGAGTTAGATGAAGTTGGATGTGTTACACTCTATTACTTGCAAGTTGTAGCAAATTAACACACTATTTATCTGAATATATAAATACTATTGTTGTCAGGATTTGTCTGGTCAACTATTAGTAAGAAAGTGGCCATGATCAGAGTTATATTTATAGTTCAAAATCCTTAGTGTGTGGTTTTGTAAAATATATCAGAATTGTCATCATCAGCATGCTATAACATGTTTTATGTGAATAAAAAGTAAATGAGACAATAAAGTTTCCATCATGTGTTGAGTAGAGTGTTCTACTATAAAATGCACTATGCTGATTGTCATATGCTAGCCTGATTCTC